TATAGTGATGAGAAGTTTGATGAAAAAGAATAAATTAGCTAGAGACCTTTTCTTAAAGGTCAATAAAATTCGATGGTGGCTTTGACCGATCAAGTTGTGTTTTTGACGTAGCTAGCTCTTAGTATAGCGGTACAATTCTCTCTTAATGTTGAAAGATGTTTAGTTCGAATCTACCTCTTTGCTAATCACAAAAGTTTGTGCTTCGAAAGTTGTAGAGGTTTGATGAAAAAGAATAAATTAGCTAGAAAGGTTTATCAAATCACGTTGACAAGGATAGAAGAGAATGTGATGCCTCTATTATGTTTTTCTTGGAGAGCCCTGGAAGACAAAGGAATGAATGGCTTGCTTCTGTTTCTATGTCAATGGGTGCTTATTCACCATGTTTCTAGCCACCACTTAGCAGTAAAAGTCAAGGTGAATCGATTTTTTTCTTTCTTAAAAATGAGGATAACTGGTGGCAAGCTATAGTTATCCACCTCTTTTGGTGGCTGGGAAAACTCACAGAGGCATTTCAACCTTCCTCTGGCCACAAGTGTGGCTTCTACACCAACAACAGGTTGTCAAGGACTCAAGGTGATTCAATGAAAAGTATAAAGCAATTAACAAAAAGAGTTACTTTAATATGCTGGAATGGTAGTATCTTAAGGGGAAAATTAACTAGGTTTGGAATTCATCTTTTGTTCCTTTTCGGCAAATCCATTATGAATCTCAATAAATATACATGCCTCTTTGTGGAATTTTTCAGGTTGACGGGCCGAGGGCCTACTCTAACAACACCGTTATTGTCCCCACTTTACCACCTACTCAATCCTTAGGTGTGAGGTTTTATCACAAAAGTCTCGATGTTAGTTAAAGTGGGGTAATTCTATTTAAATTGCACCCCATTTTATGAGTTACATGTGGAGATCCACATCGGCAATCACGTGGAGCCATGTTCGGACTCACCCATCGAGTGGGGCCAAACAGAGGACCCACCCAATCACGTGGCAGTGCAGGCCCGTCCCCTGGCTTTGATACCATGTGGAAATTTTCAGGTCGACGGGCCAAGAGCCCACTCTAACAACATATATATTGTCCCCACTTTACCATCTGCCCAATATTTAAGTGTGTGGCTTTATCACAAAAAGTCTCGATATTAATTAGAGTAGGGTAATTCTATTTAAATTGCTTTCTCTTTGGCCCTCTAGCCAATGCGGGATAACTGGAGATTCCAACACTCTTGCTTTTCCCATCCAAAATTTGGATCTTTTGAAATAATTTTTCATCCTTTAATTCCGATCCAATATATCCGAAAATCAAATCCTCAACATAAATATACAATAAATTTTCATATGTATGTACTTACTTCGTACATGATCATCAAAATCAAGAACATGAAGTTTCTATTTTGGAGCATGTGTGGCAATTGATTTTATGGTGAAACTTAACTTTATTCATAGTATTATAGCATGTTGTCCCATGTGTGAAGCCGTTGGGCCACACGTACTCTACGTCATCCTATTTGTGTTATCCAAGTACGTGCTAGGCTTAAAAATTAGTTAAACGTGATGAAGCGTGTTGAGAGTATCAATACCACATCGAAAAAAAAAAAGAACCCTTGCATGTACTTGTAAGTAGTTAACCTACTACTCATATTGCTAATTACTTTTACCTTATAACCCCAACTTCCTTCAGAAACAAGATACAAACAAAAGTTCATATAATGTATGTGTGTGTGATGACATCAATAGCATATACATACATCACAATGGAAAGAACGAACAAAAAATGAATATTAACACAGCCGGTAGGATGGCGGCGCAGACATGGTGAGAAATTGAAGTTGCAGCAGCAGCAGCAGCTGCTGACATCTTTGCGTGAGACGAATTAGAAATTCCCGGCACCATTTTTTCCGGATGGATGAAGAACCACCCCCACCACCTCCGATTAACGTACGTCCATGCAACGGAACCACCTCATTTGTTTGCCTTCTATGATGCTACAGCTTGCAAAAAGCTTCAATATAATGTTCATGATCGCGATCCCGATCATGATCCTGGTCAGCCAAAGCTCTATATATGCATATGATCGTCACAAGCGGCAACGAAGATGATCACAAACAAGAAAAATATATGTCGAAACGACGTCATATTTGTTAATGATAATTTGTATACCCTAATTCCGTCCGGAGAAAATTAGGATTTACACACCTCACGAGGTCTAGATAATAATTTGAATTTTAGAGACGACTTGGTATTGAGGCGTAGGTCTTGTGTCGGATTTCTCCCTCGTTGCCGCTAGTTACGTATCATGTGCATGCAAGTGCTGGTGGTGGGAAATAGGAATAGAGACTAACGAAATTAATTACCCAAACAAAATAGGTATTAGGCTCCTGAAATGTTTGAACTTTCTTAATTTGTCAATATATTGTTGCGATTATGCACCGTGAGTATGTATTAAATATTATATTTGGAGAGATAAAATCCTTATTAATTCTGCATGACTCTGGGTCTGGGGTCGGAAATTTAATCACCTTCTCTTCGTCTTTAAGGAATTAAAGGAGGAATTATCGGAAATGAAACATGAAATGGCCAATTGATTCTTTGCAATGCAAAGATTAATGATAATTTTGTAAGTTTGCCCATTTGCCCATTTGCCCATTTGCCCATTTGCCAAGCGAACATATATAAACCCCCCTTTCCTTACAAGTGTATTACGTACAGAGCTAGGTAATGATAAGTTAATAACACAATAATATTTGTAAATTCAATGATCGTTTGATGAGACGTATACTTATACAGACACAGACAGTGGCCAAGCCACGTGAGGGTGAGGAGTGGCGGCCACTCCCCTCGCCGGAAAAACAAGACTGGAGCGCTGGTTCAGCCCCTCCCCTCGCCGGAAAACCCATTTGGTTATGCTGCTGCTGCTCTCCGTCGGTGCCTGTCTGGTTCTGCTCTGCGCACAGCAGAGCTGAGTTCAATTTTTTTTTTTAAAAACATCCAGGCCAAAACGAGGATGAATCTTGATTTCAAACTTGATACGTCACCCACTTACTCGGCGACATCATCGACCCCGTCGTCTTTGGCGTCAATTCCGATGACGGAAGGCTAAATTTTGGGGAAAATTGCAGACAGAGAAAGAGATTGGGCAAAAGAAAGTGAGAGTAGGACAAGGCCTCTTAAATCCATCTAATTCTTTTGATACCTCCCCACCAGATTTGTTTTGTGATTGTTGCTTCATTTTTTTCATCGGGAATGGACAACTTGAAGAGGAAAGAACGAAGAAGATGCATCTGGTGGAAGAAAAAAAGACTTCGTTTTGCGCGAAAGAGTCAAGGAAATTAAGAAAGTGAAAATTAAACCTAGGCCGTGAGATTTAAATCAAAGGCTAGGATGAATTGGTCCGCATGGATCTGTAGTGAATGATCGGGAAAGGATCTGGATCCGGTTATCAGGATAGCAAGAATTTGGATGTGAGTTTTAAAGACAGATGTTGAACCATTATTGTGTCATCTAAGTTAGTAAAAATTGAGTACTGACACCTTACCAAGTATTATCTTGCTACCTTTTGTTTACATTTTTCTCTCTTAAAATACTGTGATGACCCACCACTTCTTTTTCGGTCTTTGTTTTTTTGCCCCACTTGTTTGTTTACCCATCCCCCCCTTTTTTTTCTCTTCTGACCTTTTTTTTTTTTTTTGTGGTTTATTGTCCCATTTCTCTCCTTTTATTTTTTATTTTTTTTATTCCGATATGTATTTTTATTTTCTTTTTAAGACTTCCACCGTATTTATTTTAAACTCTTACATTATTGATAAATATTGTATTACTTTTTAAAAACAATATAAATATTGTTTAATGCTTATTTTATGATAATTTAAATCAATTTAGACTCCTACCTAGATCTTGCCTAGGCATCAAGCTGCTAGGTCCCAGTCCGTTGTTTGACTAGTGCCTAACATTTTTTAGGATCTAATCCTAGCTAATTTAAGCTTCTTACATTGGTTTTGATAATATTACTTACAACCATTTTTGTGGAGAGACTATTTTATGCTATGAATATTGACTCAACACTTTGCACTCTCCAATATGAAAGCAACCTCTTCAATCGAACCTTACATTCTTTTGAATTTCGCCCCTTCCCTTGGCCAATCCTGATTTCGCCACTGGACACAGACAATCCTGATAAATACACACACACATATATATATATATATATATATATTACCCACTACCTAAAACAGTAGAAAGAAGAAAAGGCAAAAGGGATAAACCCAAAACAAGAGAAGGCATCTGAGTTGAAATTGAGGATGATGATGATTTGGTATGTGGCACTTTAGGAGTCGGCCTACGTACTATATATCTTCCATGTGAATCCCAAGCTTCCGACTAGTAAAATCGTAATTATTTGCTGCTGCTTCTGGTTCTTGCTGCTGCATCCGGATTTGCTGGCCGCCAAGAACCCTGGTAGGATTATTCAGGTGGGCAGTTGCACGGGCGGAGCTTGAAAGAGATTGAGAGGATACTACTAGTACTAGAAGGAGAACGACGACGAGCTGTGAGAGAGAGACTGCAGATTTCATCTCACTTATCATCTCTGCAGGCCTGCTAAAGTTAATGCAATCTACAGAGACAATTACATATATATGGGGGACGCGAAAGTTCAACGGACTGCATCGACTGTAGGTCCATTGGTGAGTCATAGAGCAAAAGACGAATAGGTTAACCACACTTTTCATCTGAGTTAACATACTTTGTTACTAAATATGGATAATCATACATAATATATGATTAACTAAAGGAGTAGGAGGACACCAAAGTTGAAGTATTTTGAACTATTGAAGCTTCCTTCTTTTTATAAATTGAAGATAATATGATAGATGATCCTAATTTTGTCATATATTATTATAAGGCAGCGGTCGCTCGCGGTGATGGCTTTGAATTTGATAAGACCAAATAAACCATGTATGAATACTTTTCTCTTTGTATTTAGTATCACACTTTCACGGCATATACAAATCATGTTTCTGCTTTTGTTTAGACATCGCCATGCTTATATTGTTTACACCTCGTCGACCATAGTGTTTTGCGTGGCATGACAGTAACCCAACAGCATATGCTTTGGCAAAGAACAGGGGAAGATGGGAAGAAATGTCAAATAATGCAATAAGTAGATATTCTAATTTACAATTACATAAGAATCAGGTTTGAGAAACGGGTTTAAACACGGGTTTAACAGCGAAAGTTTCATCGCAAAACTTCCACATCCATCGCGTCCTAAATAACGTGTGCAAAATTACCTCAAGCGATTAATACAGAGCAAAGATGATCAGTCCAACAGCAACATGCCTGAACACTGCGAAGAGGAAGAATTGGGGGGTTTAGCTAGTACAGAGCTTGCTACACCCTTGCTGGGACGGGTGCGACTAAGGTCGGAGGCGCCACCGGAGGTTGGCTTTGCCTTCAGTTTCTGGGAAATCCTTAGATGCTGAACTTCATGCATTCTTTGATGGCCTTTTGTGCTTGATTTGTTCATCGTATCATATACATCTGCGGAGCTTATAACATCGATAAAATTAGCGAAAAAGAACGTAGGAAATCAGTAATATTCCTCGATCTGTCGAGAGAATTTGTGAGCTTACCCTTAAGCTTAAGGTAATCATGCTGCTTCTTCAGAGGCGTATAATCTCCGGTTTTAGGGTTGGAAGTGGTTTCACATGCAGAATGAACAACCACAGAGAGAATAAAAAAGGACAATATTAGTAATTCTCTTCTCATCTTCTCTCAAATATTAGGTTTTCTAATAACCTAATACTAGTAACTAATTTTTCAAAAGTGGTTGATGAAGAAGAGGGACACGCTTAAATAGACTTATGTTGCTAAGTGTAATTAGCACTAATTAAGCATAAAGCTAACGAGAAAAGTGAAAGCATTAAAAAAGTTGATTAGGGTTTTCATGGCTTTTGGATAAAGTAAAGATTCTTGTTAATTGTAGTAAAACGAACCTGCCGCAGGCACATGCATGTGTATGCGTGTGGTTTTGCATGGCAGTACTTGGTTAATTTTACGTAGGGTAGCGCGATTCACACTTTTCTTTTGATTTTTCACTTTCTTGTTAAATTTTGGTCCACTGATATTTTTAATTTATTTGATTCGATGGCTAGAAATTGAGAGAGGTATGTCAGAGATAAAAATGAGTGTGGATAACACTATTGGGTAGAGGGATTTGCGGTTTGATGGTGGCTGTGATCGATCAAGTTGTGTTTTTGACATAACTACCTCTTAGTTAGCGACAAACCTCAATAATGTTAAAAGATATTTAAGTTCGAATCTTCCTTTGTGCTATGGTTAGATGAAAAAGAATAAATTAGCTAGAGACCTTTGTCGACCAAATCTCTTTGAGAGGAAACAAAGGATAGAAGAGAATGTGATACCTCTATTATCTTTTCCTTGGAGAGCTTATTCATAATGTTTCTGGCTACAACTTAGTAAGTAGGAAGATGTTAGAGAGACCATTTTTTAGACCATATTTATAATCACGCATAGTATGATGACGCAAGATGTGGTGATTGATGGTTGAATTCCTTCTTTAGAAGGATTTGGGCTCCTAGAATATGGCGCCCTTCTGGATTTCTATTGATTGTATCTAAATGCTCAATGAAAAGAGGATTCCTCACTTTTTTCTCTCATTCAAAACTGTGCATGAGAATTTCATCTCACATGGCTCCAAAAATGATAAAAGAAAGAAGAACTCATCTTTTTTTTTTATTACCTTTTTCGCGTATGTATAAGACCAAATCTATTCGATTTTTAAAAAAGAATTACTAATCCTATAGTCTATAAAATTTGATCTAAAAATTTGATTTCTCTATCATCACCGGTGATAAAAGTTAAGGTGATTCGATGAAAAGAATAAAGCAGGTGATAAAAGTTAAGGTGATTCGATGAAAAGAATAAAGCAAGTAACAAAATGAGTTACTTTAGTGTAGTATATGGTGGATAGTATCTAAAAGAGGAAAAATAACTAGGTATATATGGAAATTCATCTCTTGTTCCAAGTCTGCAAATCTATTCTGAATCTCAAAAATACACATGCCTTTTGCTTTTCTCACCCAATATTTATAATGTCTTTTGAAATTTTAAAATTTCTGAACATTTTTCATCCATTAATTCCGATCCAATATATCTGAAAACCAAATTAACCCTCAACATAAATATATCAACGATAGAAATGCTTGCGGTACCATACAATAATTTTTCCTGGTATATACATACGTCGTATGATCGTCATCAACATCAGGAACATGAAGTTGTGTGATATCAAGAGCATATACATAATATACATCACAATGGAAAGAATGAACAAAGAATGAAGATTAACACAGCCGGTAGGATGGCGAGGCAGACATTAAGAGAAATTGAGATTGCAGCTGCAGCAGCTGACATAGACGAAATAGAAATTCCCGGCACCGTATTTTCCTGATGGATGAAGCACCACCCCCACCACCACCAATTAACGTAAGGCCATGCAACGAAACCGCCTCATTTGTTTGCCTTCTATGATGCTGCTCGCATACAGCTCGATATAACGCTCGCGATCACAATGCTTGCATACAGCTTCATTTCTTTTCAATCCAAGTGTATACATGTTTTATTGGTGTATAAATGTATTTGCTGTGTTAGGTTTATTATAAGCATTGTGCAGGTTTTTTAATGTAAGCCATTGGATCATATTCCATATGGTATCTAGATTAGATTGTAACGAGTCATATCTCATGACAAGTGTAAGCATCTTACATGATGGCTTAGAAATGAATGGTTGTGATGTTTTTGTAATGTTGTGAGAGAGTGAAGTTGTTTCTCACTCCTCCAACGGTAAAACATGCTCTTTGAGCTCCTTGCTTAGAGAGCAAGCTGAATACATTGAAATCTTAGAAAACTCTGTTCTCTGTGTGTGTTCTTACTGTTCTATTGAGTCTACCCAGGAAATCAAACGCTGATATGTTTTACATAGCTAGGTAATGACAACACAATAATATTTGTAAATTCTATATATTGGTTTGATGAGAGTAGGCAAATACAGACACAAACAATATATATATATCCACTACCTAAAACAGTAGAAAGAAGAAGAGGCAAAGGGATAAACCCAAAGCAAGAGAAGGCATCTGAGTTGAAATTGGGGATGATGATGATTTGACACGTGGAACTTTGGGAGTCGGCCTACGTATTATCTTCATGTGAATCCCAAGCTTCCGACTAGTCAAATCGTAATTATTTGCAGCTGCTTCTGGTTCCTGCTGCTGCTGCTGCATCCGGATTTGCTGGCCGCCAAGAACCCTGGTAGGATTATTCAGGTGGGCAGTTGCATGGGCGCAGCTTGGAAGAGATTGAGAGGATATTAGCAGAAGGAGAACGACGACAAGCTGTGAGAGAGAGACTGCAGATTTCATCTCACTTATCATCTCTGCAGGCCTGCTAAAACTTAATGCGATACAGACACACACACACACACACATATATATATATATATAGCTGTATGGGGCACGAAATTAAGTTCACCGACTGCATCGTTCGTTTGTCGGTCTCTGGTGAGTCATAGAGCAAAGACGAATTAGTGAACCACACTATTCATCTGAGTCAACAAAGCATCTGCTAACACGACTAATTATAGCTAAATATGGATAATCATACATAATATATGATTAATTAAAGGACACCAAAGTTGAAATATTTTGAAATGTTGAAGCTTTCTTCTTTTATTAATTGAATATAATATATGATAGATGATCCTAATTTCAGGGTATAATTATTATAAGACAGTGGTGTCTTGAGGTGGAGAGATTTTTCAGTATGACCATCACACGAGGTGGTACACTATGTGTCCTTATATAAATGAAGGGTTATGTGTGTTAAAAGGTTAATAACTTAAAAATTAAAAATTTTCACCACTTACATAAAAATATGTGATATATAATCCATGTTCCCGTCACAAATCAAAATTTCTCCTTTCGGTGATGGTTTTGAAATTGATAAGACCAAGGAAAAGAATATAGGCCACAAAGAAACCAGTGATAGATAAGGACTACGCGCAGCATGGACCATTTCCATCCCTAATCCAATGCTAGTTTTATATTGTTAGTTACTTTATACTCGACCGTATTGTCAAAGTCAAAACTCTCACGCGACCACCAACCCATCAAAGCTATCAACTAAAAAGATCACCGCTTACCGCACTTTTCGTGGTACTAGCAATAGGAAGTTGACTCATATAAAAATTATATTATATGGTACTTAAATGCAATCTGTATTTGGTTCTATTTGAGCCTTATTGGTTATTTTCCTATTTGAGAGTTTGGCTAGTGAGACAGCTTTACCGAAGTAAAATGATATTGAACAGAAGAAGAAATTCGGACAATGCTATACCAAAGGTTAGCCATAATCATATATCAAACTTACAATCTTTTAAAATCGAATATACTTACAAATATAAAGAAATACTACCAATTGTGATGCCAGCGACGTATTCTCAACTTTCACAAAATCAAAAAAGATATTATAGCACAACAGTAATTTAAACGTGTCCAAATAGGTCCATGGCAAGAAAGAATCAACATCTCGCTCTTATCTTTTCATTGAATTTCTAGGCTCCAAAAGAAGAAACGGTAATTGTGCTTAGTAGCCTTTTACAAAGCCACCAATTAAAAATAGCCATGCTAATGCATTCTTTATTAGTCTTCTTCGACGAAAATACTCTCCTTGTCGACCTAATTTTGGTAAATAATTGACTGAATATTAAGCGTATTTTCGTCAAATGAGGGAGAGATTTTTTAGTGTAATCGTTACACGAAATGGTACATCACGTGTCATTATGTAAATTGTGGGATATGTGTGCTAAAAATTTAATAACTTCAAAAATAAAATTTCCCATCATTCATATTAAAACACGTGGTATACTACTTATGTTTCCATCACAACTAAAAATTTCTCCAAATGAGGCTAGAGGGCAAAGCTAATTTAGTTGGTGTGTCTGTAAACCCAATTTCCCAAAGAAAAAGGATTCTTAAAATATAATGTGCAGAAATGAGTTAATTCATTAGGACAGACTATCAAGATGTTGGCGTTTGAGCCTCTGCAGGGACATATTTTGGCGGACGCGTCTTGCCGAACTCGCCTGTGACTCGATCCATGTACAACACATACAGCCCGTTTCTGCTTTCCAAAACTTGTAATCCTTTACGTGCTTGAAGAACCGACGCCACCCACTCTTCAAACAGCGCTGCAAATAACACACCATCGTTCGATTATTGTCTCAGTTCAAGATATCAGCATTTGCTGCATTGTACATGTCGAGAAAAACGTTAGGATTTCGAAAGCTTGTGAAATGAGTAGCAATTGCTACACGTATCGTTTGGTATGCAGACGGAACGGGACGGAACGGAGAGGGAGCAAAGATGTCCTCGGATGGAAACAAGAAAGAAGAAGAAGGAGACGGAGATGTTATAATTTTGTGTTTCATGGATGTGGAACGAGTAATTCCAGGGGGGGTGAGACGGAACGAAAATTCACCCAAAACTCATCCCGTGGAATAACGCGTTCCACCCGTTTTAGGCGCACCAAACGTGGGACGGATATGTTCCGTCCCGTCCCACGTACCAAATGGTATCTATTAAGTAATCGGATACCAAAAACTAAGTAAGTTGGATCCTCTCATCCACATTTCAAGAAATCATATCAAAATCTAGCTTCATTGGAAACCAATGAAGAACGTAAAAAGTGATTACTCTAAAACGTAAAGATGCCTACTACGGTAGATAAATTTAAGGAAGTGCTTTTAA